CCCCCCCCCCCCCCGCCCCCCCCCCCCCCCCTCTTTTTTTTTTTTTTTTAAAGACGAAATCCCGTGGATGTGTGTGTTTGCACGGCGTGTCTGTTGTTTTTCACACAGTAGCACAAAAAGGGCATCTGGTGTCCACTGTTATTGTTGGGCTCCATTCATCATCCTGTCAGGCTCCTCCTCCTCCTCCTCCGCTGCATTTTCAATGCAGGGAAGTTACTTTGAAAAACAATACCTCAGTTATACTCAAGTCACAAAACGGACAGAAACACTGAGAGAGTGTGAAACAAACACTGGGTCCCACAGAGGCTGAGCTTTAACGCTGGTTTTTACTGTATCTGCGAGGACACAAACAACGGCAACACGGAGGGAGACATACTGGAGTTATGAACAACGTTCTACAACCTCCAGATTTAAATATTAAATTACTGAAATGAAAACAGAGTGTGTGTGTGTGTGTGTGTGTAAGACAGAGAGAGAGAGAGAGAGAGAGAGAGAGAGAGGTTGAAAGGGTTGCAGTTAGATTCCCGGGGGGAACAAACTTGATATTTGCAGGAGAAACATCCAACTGTGTAAACACACACACACACACACATGCGCACACACACAGTCTCTCTCTCTCTCTCTCTCTCTCACACACACACATTCCTATAAGTTCTGTTCACGTTCTCCCAGGATCCGGAGTTTCTGATCCTCTTAGATGCAACTGATCCTATTCACGTATGGAATGTTTTATAATAGGATTTACTTCATGTATTTACCCCCCCCTCCCCGCATTAGCCCCCCCCCCCCCCCCTCCCCGTATTAGCCCCCCCCCACCCCCACCACACAGGAACACGAATGTTACTGTGGAGAGTGAGAACAAACCTCTGACCACGGCCTGTGAATCCCTCACCGTCCCTTTCAGCTCATTACACACACACACACACACAACAATACACACAACGATACACACACAGCGTCACAACCCATTAGAGAACAACACTGGAGTGTCACAGTCAGGTACAAACGACCGGCCAACAGTAACTGTTCTGTTAGAGGAGGAAAAAGAACGACGTGGAACGGAGACGGTTCTGTTTCTCACATCAGAATAAAAAAAAAATCTCACTTCTGTTTCTCACATCAGAATAAAAAAATCTCACAGATTAAAACTAGCAAACAAAAACAAACAAACAAACAAACCCAAGGTGATGTTGATCAGTTTTTGGATGTTTGTGATGAAAAGTGTTCTCTTTCCTCTGTGTGTTTGTTCTGATACGAGACGAGATGATGATGTTATGCCCAGATGTCTTGTCAAGCAAATCAGACCCACAACAGGAAAACAGACGCACATTCCTGTTGTGAAGAAACACACAGACACACACGAGGTTCTCTCTAAACTGGTTCTTCAGCAGTTAATTCAGTAAATCTTGAGCAAATATCGACCAACTGCCACTGGAGACTTTCCCTCGAAATATTAACCAAACCATTTGCGTGTCAGTCTGCTTTGTTTCTGGTAACCTCCTCTGGCACAGGAAGCCTGAGGGCCGCGGCCCCCGGTCAGATGTAGTCATTTGAATAAATGGAAATGCGTTCGTGTGGATGGATTCCATTGAAGTAATACATTAACAGGTCTGCGTTGTGTCTGGGTTTGAGGTCGCGACCCTTCACATTGTCGTCAGCTCTGAAGTATTCATAAATAATGTTGTGTTTTCACAGAAAAACCTTGGGATTGGCAGCTGAGCGTGGGGCGCTAACAGCTAACAGTCGTTCACAGTCCACGAGGTTTCAAAGACATCAGAGAGACATCGCCTGGTGATGTCCATGTCGTCTTTGTTTTGACCGACACCGCCGCTGCTGTAGTCTCGGCTCAAACGTTCGTTTACGTCCAGTTGTTGAGAATAGAACGTACAGATGCGTTACTTCCTGTGCTAATGCTAACTAGCCTCCAGGCAACGCTACTCTCTGCTCATTTCTACAGCACTGAAAAAGTTAAAGAAACCCCGACCAATCTGGACGGAACATTCTACAATCTTACAGTCACCAGTTGTAGTATTATTCCTGTAGTACTACAGTATTTTGATACCATACCACAGTACCTGTCCTGTTGGACTTAAATGCACACTGTTCCTGTTCCTGGTACTGATCGACTGTTTCTGTTCCACTGGGTTCCTGTTGTCTTAACTCAGATAATATTTTACGTTTTTTTCAACCCGTACATTTGTTTCTTCAGCAGAGACTCAGGTTTTTGAGGCTCTTCCAGAAGGATCAGCCGACAGATGTAGCGTTGAGACACACCGGGCCCTCGCCTCTGTAATCGTCTACCCTCCGTAGACTGCAGCCATCTGCTAGAACTTAATAACTCAGACTCAGACTCGGTGCTTCTCCTCGGGCGTAACATTCACCACGTTCCTGCAGGAAAGTTGTTTGGCAAATGATCAGTGGATCCAGACTGGTCTTGTTTGGGATTTTCCTGCCGTGGAACAGTTCACCACAGTGCTGTCGGAGCACGAGGGTTTTCATTCCACCCCCACCCTCCAACTGCAGTCACGAGCTGCTGTTGAAGGGGTGAGTGGGGGTGGGGAGGGGGCACCAAACTGCACCAATGTGGACGATGGGATGTCATATGCACAGGAAAAGGAAACAGCTGAATGTGATTTTGTTTTTTTTTTCTCCGTCAGAGCCACTGGGGACTGAAGTGGAGTAGAGTCGGTAAATACAAAATGTCTGGTATTGATGCAAATGCGGAGAGAGTACATTTTGAAGAGTGACTGGATCAACAGGTGCCACATTAATAAAACCTACTTTTACTGTAGTCACACACACACACACACACCAGTACTACCAGTGACCGCAGCAACGCTGACAGTTTCCCTGGCGACGCGGAGGCACAAAATTTCAAACCCGATGTGGAAGGAAAGTTAACTCCTTTGTCATTGTGACACAGCACATCATCAAACCTGACCTCTGCTCTTAACCCATCACAGATGGACTCAAACCTGAAACCTTCCAGACCCAAGTCTGCTTCCTTAACCACTGAGCCACCACTGAGCCCCAAACCGTATCGCCCAACGTGGCGTTCCTTTCTGTATTTCTTTCTCCATTTTTTTTTTTTTACTTCCTTCTCCTTCCTTCCTTTCACAGATTCATGAACTGCAGGGTCCCGGCCAGTAAGCGGTACCAGCCCACTGATTATGAACATGCTGCAAACTGTGCCACACATGGGGTGAGTTAAACAACTGTAAACACAGTCACAGAGCCTCACACACACACACACACACACACACACCGACTCTTCCTTCCTTCTATATTTAGTTGTGTTTTAAGGGCTACTCTCTGACGTGACGCGCAGGATTAAGAAGAAACGAAGCAGGACGGTCAGGATTCTGCTGTTCTGAGATTTAATCTGTGTTTCATCCTGCAGGATTCTCTAATCTGCTGTAATCCCAGTGCTTTTCCGTGGCAAAATGAAAAAGACGGAAACATTTAAGCTCAGACAGAAAAGGATAAAAAAAAAAAAAAATCAGTAGAACATGGATGTAAGATCTGGTCGAGCTACAAATGAAGGAAAACAAAACATGAAGTATATTCTGTCCTTGGATAACAGGATATGACACAGATATAGGCAGAATGTTTCAACTGTAAAGAAAAAATCAAATGTGTTTTTTTTGTAAAGTAAAAAAAAGGTTTTGATAAAATACACCTAAAAATGAAAATTGAAATAAATATATTGCAAATATAGCTTTGAGGCTACTTATCAATACAAAAAAAAAAAAAAAAAAAAAAAACAAAAAAAACAAAAAATGACTAAAAGTATAGGCTGGAAAAAATAATACAAAATACGTAGTAATTTACCTAGTAAATAAGAGGTTAGCTCGTAGGGTACAATGCTAACTGTTAAATAAAAGTGTAACGTTGCTCTTAACGTCTTCAGAACTGCTCTTGTAATCGGTTACAAAGAGTCAAAAAAACAAAACCAAAAAACCAAAGTGACCAGGTCCATGACCTCCTCTGTGTGAGGAAATGTTGGCAGTAACATGAAACTGCTGTTTTGTTTGGTTTCTTTGGTTCCTGTCCAGTTGTGGATCCTGCCCAGTCTGGTGGGCGGCTCCGTGCTCTACTTCTCCTCCACGGACCAATGGTATCGCGTTGCTGCCTGGCTCTACGGCAGCGGACTCACCGGCCTGTTCATCACCTCCACGCTCTTTCACACTGCTGCATGGAAAATTAGCCACCTCAGGTGTGTGTGTGTGTGTGTGTGTGTGTGTGTGGAGCTCATGTTCACACAGCAGATCTGTTTACACAGTGTGTGGTGAATTATGGCCACACGGAGAAACATACGATGTAAATCACCGTGTTATCGCACCGAGACGTCAGTCAGGTTAATGGCTGAGAAAGTGAAGGTATTTATGACCTACAGCAGGGGGGCGTCAAGAGTCATTTTCACTGATTATTATTAGTTATTCATGGTACAAACATTGTTAATTGCAAGAAAAAAAAACAAACTTTGAATTTATCAGAAACTCCGCGACATGGATCGGACTTGCAAAATGACTTGGCGGGCCGAATTTTGCCCCCGGGCCTTGAATTGAGTCACATGTGCCCTACAGCTATGTATATATACATACATATATATGTATATATATGTATGTGTATATATGTATGTTTATATATATGTATGTTTATATATATGTATGTGTATATATGTAGACGTATATATGTATATGTATATATATATATGTATACGTATATATGTATATGTGTGTATATATGTATATATACACATATATATATATATACATATACATATATACGTATACATATATACACATACATATATATAAACATTCATATATACAGCTCATTGACTCCCACATTAATTCCTCTTATTTATTCCGTATACATCTGTTCACTCTGTGTCTGCAGGACGGTGGAGCAGCGGTTCCACATGTGTGACCGGATGGCCATCTACTTCTTCATCGCCGCCTCCTATTCCCCCTGGTGGGTCATGAACTCGGTGGAGATCGGTCCAGTGCGGGACAACAGTGATAGACATGCTGGAATTGAACACTCATGTGCGATTGACCTTCCTTCTCCAGGTTGATGCTGAGGGAGCTGGGGCCCTGGGCGTGCCACATGCGCTGGCTGATCTGGGTCATGGCATGTGTTGGATCCATGTATGTCTTCTTTTTCCATGAGAGGTAACACAGTCTGTCCTTATGTCGCCGCGTGTCCCGGTTTAACATGATTAACCTGAAACCGAACTCCGGTCAGAGATGTTTACAGCAAACTGACGGCTGCCTTTTGAAGCGGAAAAAAAAAACACGTCCACTTTTCTGCCCTGCACAGGTACAAGATCATAGAGCTGCTGGCATATGTGGCCATGGGGGTACTTCCTGCTTTGGTCATCCTGTCCATGGTGAGAAATAGTTCAATCATATTTCTTGGTCATTCTTTCAGGATTCTCTGGGGTCAAAGAAGTATAAATTGTTGACCAGTTGATGAAGTTTACATAAAGTACGACTGCAAAAAAAAAGTGCTATTTGAATTTGGGGGATCAAAATATCCCAAAGACAACATGTTGTTGTAGTTTTGTTATAAAATATCTGATTCAGACTTTTCTCCGCGTTGTCACAGGTGGAACGCGCAGGTCTGTTTGAGCTGGCCATGGGGGGGCTCTTCTACGTGGTGGGGGTCGTCTTCTTCAAGAGCGACGGCCTGGTTCCCTTCGCCCACGCCATCTGGCATCTGTTTGTGGCAGCTGGAGCAGGAATTCACTACTACGCCATCTGGAGGTACCTGTATTTATCTGAGCCTCTGCTGCAGACGGCGAGATGAGTGATGTCAGCGCTCCGTTAGACGAGTCCGGAAACCACTGTGTTTTTTGACAACAGCTATGCTGTTGTGAACATTCCTTCGGATGACGTAACGTCCTGATGTTTCAGGAGTTTCTTCCCAGGTGGAAATGAAACGCCTCACCGTCCGTCTGCTTCTAATGACATGTAATACGCGCGAGCTGGCTAGCGAGGGCGCGTAGCGTACACTAACATTTAACACTGCACTGCTGAGGTTGGTGGGGAGGGAAGGAAATATCCCAGAATGCCTGCACTGCTGAGGTTGGTGGGGAGGGAGGGAAATATCCCAGAATGCAAGAAAAAAAAAACTGAGCAGTTTTCAGGATGTAAACAAAAAATGTACATCAAACAATAGAACTAAAACAATATGTTAAAGAGCCTTTGGGCAACATATTTAAGTTGGTGAAGACAGGAAATATGAAATATGACCAAGTTCCAAAAGAAACAGACTAGTTTGATGTGTTCAGTCAATAAAATAAAGACCAATTAAAAAACTAGTTCCCTCAAGGTCATGGACTGTTCACACTGGAGTCACATCCAAATTATAATGTGAAAAGAACTGAAGTAGTCTCAGTCTACAGCCTACTACAAACCACGTATGTGCCTTACGTGCTACAAACCTCTTAAAAAAACACAAAACTACAGCAGTTTAACACCAATAAACACATGAGTGTTTGGCTCAGAAACTACAGCAGTTTAACACCAATAAACTCATGAGTGTTTATAAACACATCATCATCAAATCACTGGGAGAAACACACACACAAGTACATGACTAACTTTACAAAAACTTGTTTGCACTTGTTCTTCTCGAAGCCGACCAATCAAAACAAAAAGCTGTTTTGTATGCAGTACCGCTTCTGGCCAACAGAGGCCAGCATTGGTACAAATCGAAAATTGCCGACTTCTCTGATGAAACACACGGTCCATTTTATTGTCAAATGTTAGATTTGGGCCATTTAAAATCCATTAGTTTGATTTATTTATAATTAATTTGATATAATTAAAAGCACTGGAGCTCAAAGGCAGTCTTATAGAGAGATTTTATGTAATTTGGAGTATTTAAGAAAAAGAAAAAGGAAAATCCTCTGAAATCTCTCACCACAGCTTTGGGTGGTAACAGCTGGACTGTGCTCATAATCACAG